AAATGCCCTTGGAGTCTGCTGGGGAAGAGAAAAATAATACTGTCAGTCAGTATGCAATGCAGATGAGTGCCGTCGATCTTAGAATCACCGCACACTTCACTCATTTGGGCAGTCACGGGGCCAAAACCAAGTGTGGAGCCACAGTGTGGCGGTGGAGGCAGCAGCAATGGGAGGCCATACAGCACCCTATGACAAAATGGAACCCACCAGCAGATTGTGAGGAGACCTGAAAGTGGCACATCAGAATTTGGCGATGGATGAGAGCAGCAATGGGAGGCCCGTAAGGGACCCATGACACACTCTACCTGGCAGCAGCATGAGGAGGCTTACAGGGGCCCATGCAAGAAGAAGAAGAAGAAGAAGAAGAAGAAGATGAGGATGAGGATGAAGAAGAAGAAGAAGAAGTAGGATGAGGATGAAGAAGAATAGGATGAGGATGATGAAGAAGAAGAAGAAGAAGTAGGATGAGGATGAAGAATAAGAATAAGAAGAAGAAGTAGGATGAGGATGAAGAAGAAGAAGAAGAAGAAGAAGAAGTAGGATGAGGAAGAAGAAGAAGAAGTAGGATGAGGAAGAAGAAGAAGAAGAAGTAGGATGAGGATGAAGAAGAATAAGAATAAGAATAAGAAGAAGAAGTAGGATGAGGATGAAGAAGAAGAAAGAAGAAAAGAAGAAGAAGTAGGATGAGGATGAAGAAGAAGACGAAGTAGGATGAGGATGAAGAAGAAGAAGAAGAAGAAGAAAGAAGTAGGATGAGGATGATGAAGAAGAAGAAGAAGAAGTAGGATGAGGATGAAGAAGAAGAAGAAGAAGAAGAAGTAGGATGAGGATGAAGAAGAAGAAGACGAAGAAGAAGAAGAAGTAGGATGAGGAAGAAATGAAGAAGAAGAAGAAGTAGGATGAGGAAGAAGAAGAAGAAGAAGAAAGTAGGATGAGGATGAAGAAGAAGAAGAAGAAGTAGGATGAGGATGAAGAAGAAGAAGAGGAAGAAGAAGTAGGATGAGGATGAAGAAAAAAGGAAAGAAGAAGAAGTAGGATGAGGATGAAGAAGAAGAAGAAGAAGAAGGATGAGGATGAAGAATAAGAAGAAGAAGTAGGATGAGGATGAAGAAGAGGAGAAGAAGAAGAAGAAGAAGTAGGATGAGGATGAAGAAGAAGAAAGAAGAAGAAGAAGTAGGATGAGGATGAAGAAGAAGAAGAAGAAGAAGAAGAATGAAGTAGGATGAGGATGAAGAAAGAAGAAGGGAAAGAAGAAGAAGTTAGGATGAGGATGAAGAAGAAGAAGAAGTAGGAATGAGGATAGAAGAAGAAGAAGAAGAAGTAGGATGAGGATGAAGAAGAAGAAGTAGGATGAGGATGAAGAAGAAGAAGAAGAAGAAGTAGGATGAGGATGAAGAAGAAGAAGTAGGATGAGGATAGAAGAAGAAAAGAAGTAGGATGAGGATGAAGAAGAAGAAGTAGGATGAGGAATGAAGAAGAAGAAGAAGAAGTAGGATGAGATGAAGAAGAAGAAGAAAGGATGAGGATGAAGAAGAAGAAGAAGTAGGATGAGGATGAATAAGAAGAAGAAGAAGAAGAAGTAGGATGAGGATGAAGAAGAAGAAGAAGAAGTAGGATTGAGGATGAAGAAGAAGAAGAAGAAGAAGAAGGATGAGGATGAAGAAGAAGAAGATTAGGATGAGGATGAAAGAAGAAGTAGGATGAGGATGAAGAAGAATTCCAGTGCAGCAAAAAGTGTATCTGCAGAGAGCTCCGCTATTTCTGACAGTTCTCTGACAGTTCCTTCAAGTATTTACATCAGCGGTTGAAACATTGTATCTATTTGTTTGACGAATAAAAACATCTGTATCCTAAATGGAAACAAATAGATACAATGTTTCAACAATAAAACAAGGAACTGTCAGAGAACTGTCAGAAATAGCTTCTCTGCAGGGGACACTTTTTGCCGGCTATAGAAGGGATGAAAATTATCGGGGAAAATTCGATTTCGCAGCATCCGAAGTTTGCTAATATTCGGATTCGGCGCGAATCGTCCTAATATCGAAACGAATTCCACTTCGCCAGGTTCGATTCGCTCATCTCTAATTTTCACCATGGACACTCTTTAATACAATTTTACATAATTAATACTATGATGGCACTACATCAATAAACAAGTTTACATGCTTATTCTATAAGGTATAGAAGTGAAACTGGTCTCATAAATCTCCCACCGAAATAAGCATATGATTTATATCATGTTTGGTCTTTATCAATCATGGTTTCATTCCATTCATTACTACAGTATTTCTCAGATTGCAAAGCCTTGCTTATCAGGAAACCTTAATATTATTGGAAATGTGGCATTAAGGGAGTTTCTACTCTGGTAGAAAAAAAAATACTGTAGCAATCCTAAATCACACCTCTCATCTTTTTTGATTGGGTGGGAGTTGGCTCAGAAACTCTCACTGCTGCTATTGGCACCTGGCAGTATGAGGTCGCTTATAATGTTTGAAAAAAGGTGAATGAGCAGTGCTGAGCCTTACATTTCCATACAGTGCTGCTTATTCACTCTGCTAGCTGCAGCTGCCTGAAGAAAGGAAAAGGGGGTTAAAATCAGAGCTGGGAACAGACTCTCCGCCTGAGTGTGAAGCTGATCAAGGTATGAAAATTAAACACTTGCCCTCCAGAGGATTTACCCCCCTTCCTGACCAGGCCATTTTTGTGATACGGTACTGCGTTACTTTAACTGACAATTGCGTGGCCATGCAACGCTGCACCCAAATGAAATTTGTGTCCTCTTTTTCCTACAAATAGAGCTTTCTTTTGGTGGTATTTACTTTTTTGCACTATAAACAAAAAAAAAAAGGTCAACAGTTTTGAGAAAATAAACAATATTTTTTACTTTTTGCTATTAAACATGTCCAGTAAAAAAAAAAATCTAATTTTGTCATAAATTTAGGCCAAAATGCATTCTGCAACACGTCTTTGCTAAAAACAATTCCAAATACGTGTAAATTAATTGGTTTAGTTATAGCGTCTACAAATGGCAGTATAGATACTGGAATTTTTTTTATTTTTTAATACTAGCAATGGCGGTGATCAACACGCGCCCCCTACCCGGAACTGCAAAATTACATTCATATACATGATTTTGCACATCCGTGCCACCCTGTAGCAATATTTCTGCTATAGGGTGGTACAGAACCAGTTAACTGGGAAAAAAGATGGCCCATTACAAAGGAGAGGCTGTGCACTAGCAGAGGGAGCAGACACTAATCCTGTTCTTGTGTAAAAGTATAAGATCAGTGTTTGTACAGTGCATAACACAGTACACAAATATGGTGCAATGATCCACATTTCACTTTGTGTTCTGTGTGTTCTGTGTAATGTACCTGTGATCAGGTAATTAATAATAATTGTTCTGGATTACCAGATCATAAGAACATTGCTGCAAATAGGAAACACACAGCATATGAGAGAGAGGTTGGGAACCTAAACACTGGCTGTACCTACCACACAGGAACACCCATAGTTTTGACTTCAGCCTGGTGCCGAGCTACAGCCAGCACAAACAGAAAGGCAAATGTGCTTTTATGTCCTTAATATATTGCTATTACTCTGCAGCAAATTGGATTATTCTGGAAACAAGGACCAGGTCCTTTTCACTCTTAATCTAATTTTTTTGCTGTTGCTATTGTCTATTTTGTAATATCTTTTAAGTAAAATATGCCTTTTTATTTTTTTGTTTCTTAAACACAGTATTTTAAAATCATTAAGAAAAATCTCTAAATGTTTTTATCAGAAATTAAATAATCCTTGACTTTTTGAAGCATGCCACTATATTTTAAACTCTGTACATTCTTGGTTGGGCATGGCGGTGATTGTCACAGATATTTCTTACAGTTCAGAATTACTATAGCAGATCATGTGAACAGTGTGTGTTTTGGTTAAATATATGATGGTGGCTACTGTTTGTGTGCAGATAGGAATAACTGAAAACCAACCCCAGTGATGGTCACTCTCTGTCTGGTGGTGCTTAAGTTGTCATCCTTTGAGCTGAAAAATCTCTGCACAAGGTAAGACTGGGAATGCAATTGCCACAAGCACCAGGAGATACAAATGCAAAAAGTGCAACTTGGCAGGTCGGTACATACATTTTTGTTTGGTGTGTTACGATTTGGAAAATGTTAATGTATTATTATTATTATTTATTTTTATTTTTTTTATTTGTTGTGAGTGTTTTTTTATGTAAAAGTATGGCAGTTAAAGTATGGCACCTGGAGCAATTCAAAAATAATAAACAATATAATATAGATATCTATAAAGTACGAACTGCAAAACCTAGCAATATAAAGCCCACATTGCACTATTTATAGTCCAAAACTGAGTAGGCTTAACATGAACAGTCAATTTGACAGATTAATTTAAGTTCATTATTCCTCATCCCTTATAGATATAAACTGTGCTTCAGTATATAATGATATTTAAAGTGTTACTAAACCCAGGACCCTGCACTCACTATATCTGGTCTCAAAAAGTACACAGAACATGGAAATGCAATTAGTTTAGTAAATATAAACTGCTAAATACCTTTTCTCATCAGCAGTTAGAGCAGTCTTGTGACTTCTATCAGTGTCCAGCAGAGCACTGGTTAAAAGCGTATCGGAGGAGTTTTCATTCTCCTCTAGGAGCATGCAGGACCCCTGACCTCTGTTTGGACAGTGCTGATTGGCCCTGTGCTGATCACATGCACTCTCCCAAGAAAAAAAAAAAACTCTCTCTAGCAAAACACACCAAAATGAGCATGTGCAGAGTGACTCCAAACCTTTGTTCTGACAGTAGATATTTAGGGGAGAATGGAAGAAGGGGAGGATTAGAGAAGAGAGGATCAAACATCCTTGTTACACAATGTGGATAATTAACCCTTTAGGTTCCACAGAGAGTATACCAATCATGCTTTACTGCATATACAGACTGATTTTACCTGTGTAATGATATTAAAGTGTTACTAAACCCAGGACCCTGCACTCACTATATCTGGTCTCCCACGGTACACAGAACATGGAAATGCAATTAGTTTAGTAAATATAAACTGCTAAATATCTTTTCTCATCAGCAGTTAGAGCAGTCTTGTGACTTCTATCAGTGTCCAGCACAGCACTGGTTAAAAGCGTATAGGAGGAGTTTTCATTCTCCTCTAGGAGCATGCAGGACCCCTGACCTCTGTCTGGACAGTGCTGATTGACGCTATGCTGATCACATGCACTCTCCCAAGAAAAATAAATCTCTAGCAATACACAACAAACTGAGCATGTGCAGCTTACCCCTGAGCCTCTTCTCCATCAATGGATTTTAGGAGACACTGGAAGAAGGGGAGGATCAGGATCAAACATACTTTTTGCACGTGCAGAGGATTACCCCTTAGGTTCCACAGTGTATATAACAAGCAGGCTTTACTGCATATACAGACTGATTTTACTGTTGTGGTCTTAGTAATACTTTAAAGAACTGAAAAATATTTAGACAGATCTTGTCAAACCACCCATGCTTTGTAAGTTGGTATATATGGAGTTCTGTTTTAGTTGGCATGTTTATGAGGTTATATTATTATGGCTACTGAATGTTTTGATAAATTGGTTACAGCAGTAACATGGTATGCAATACGGTAGTTATATTTATTCTTTACTTTGAAAATGTAAGGACAGAACCTTCAATAACAGCTCATAACACCATGTTTTCAAACATTATAAATGAACCAATTTGTAACGTTAAAAAAAGCCTCTTTAGAACACATCTATTCTATACTGATACAGTATTGCACATAGGTATTAATTAGTAATCATTCTCATGTTTTCAAACTCCACTTCTCTGCTCACAAGAAAAGTCCAACATCATGTCCATATGTTAGAAATAATAAAACCAACTTTTAAATAGAAACCTCATAGTTGAGCAATAACTTTAGGCCTCTTTTAAATGCTTTTAATTAAAAAGGAGCACAAAATTAATTGGCTGTGGAACGTGTCTTTGTTAAATAATTACACACAATTAAATGACTGAAATATCATCACAGGCAGTGCCAGGAAATTTAAACTGAACCCCACTGCAACACAGAATTAGAACTGCGTTAATTTCCCATCAGTCTATTATAAAAGCATAGACGCAGGGCCATTACATTTAACATGAGCACCAGCCATAGGAAATTGGCTCAGTGGGTCTTATGATTACAATACTCTAGAACAGATTTTTTTTGCCATCACAAGAGACACTGACTGGGCCACCACAGATAGGGTCCTATATTCTGGTGCTCAGAAGGCAATGTTTCTCAATTTAAATAATTAACAAGAGAGTGACGACAGAACAGTCATTACTGAACATCTAGTTCAGGAATTAACAATGAGTCATTAACAAAATCTTCTGTCAGAAGAGAAAAACAGCTTGTGCTCTCTAGCATCACCGGTTAATTGTATTGTTACTGATCATTAGAAACTAGAGTGTACTTTTCAGTGCTCTCCTAGGTTATAATCATTCCTTTTTTGCTTTATGTTAACATGCCAAATACTTGAGTCACTGCTATGGAAATATTAGGAAATACTATATAAAGTATACATGTAGGGGGGCATATAATGCCTTTTGGTGCCCATGATGTCAACTTTTCCCATTTAGTAAAAACCAATAAATGTAGGGAATAAATGAATAAAAACTATACTACTGAGAATTCAACCTAGTAATTGGCTAGAACTAGTATCATCAGGAATAGGAAAGTAAAGGAGAACCATGCTGTCCATAGTTTTTCTAGTTTGTAGGATAAACTAAAAAATGAAGAGTTTTATGGGTAACAGAGATAGTTCTGTTCAGGGGCGGACTGACAACTCATGGGGCCCCCAGGCAATAGGGGATCATGGGGCCCCTGTGTCCTTGCCCAAAGTCAAAAAAGCCTATGGTACCAGGGGCATCTCATGGGGCCCCCTACTGAGCCCCTGGTACCATCGGGCAGTGCACGAGTTTCCAAGTGGCAGTCCGCCACTGGTTCTGTTATTTCATACTAATACTAAGGTCCATTGTGACAACATATATCCTATACCTTTTCTCATATTATCTACTTTCAATGCAAGATATGGCATCCATTGATACTGAATACTGTTTTAAAATGAACTGATATATATTTTTCTCATCTCTTATAGAGGTCTCGTCATTCCCATTGTATCTTCCAACTGTAAGAAATTTGATTTGTTGCTTTTGTTTATTGTCATGCAAACAGCAATATTGGCCAATGGTGTAACATAAGTACAGCTACCATAGTATGCACGATTGGGCCATCGTACAGGACATGTCATTTTGTGACATATCAAGAAACTTAACAAAAAAACAAAAGGTAATAAGTGTGATGTCTTACAACTTGCAACAATACGTTGCATCACCCCTACACAATGCACAATAGTGCACACATGTTATAGTGGGTTTCTAACTCCTCTGATGCAGCCAGGGGTCACTACCCATCAGGTTACCCCCTGTGATGGGAGTATTCCTTGAACTTTGCACCCTATCTTATTAGTATTAGCATGGATGTCACTCCACTTCCTCAAACTCATTCTTTTTTAAAACTGAGCTCTTAGTATTCCCTCCAGCCTGTGCCCCCTCCCCTGACTTCTCCATCAAGACCAATAATACAACCATCAGTCCCTCCCCTCATGCCAGGATACTAGGTATAATCCTAGACTTGCATCTGTCCTTTCAGCCCAAAATCCAATCACTGTCCAAATCTTGTACCTCCACAACATCTCCAGGATACAGCTGTTTTTAACCTCGGAAACTAATAAGCAACTTACTCACTCCCTTGTTATCTCTTGCCTTGACTATTGTAACTCCCTCCTCATTGGCCTACCTCACCGCAGGCTATCCCCTCTTCAGTCTATCATGAATGCTGCTGCCAGACTCATCCACCTTACTAACCATTCCGTATCTGCCACCCCTCTCTGCCAAACCCTCCACTGGCTTCCCATTGCCCTACGGATAAAATTCAAAACATTAACAATAACATATAAAGTCATTTATAACTCTGCCCTAAATTACATCACCAATCTTGTCTCCAAATATCACCCAAACCGTACTTTCCGATCCTCGCACAACCTCATGCTCTCTAGCCCCCTTGTCTCCTCCTCCCGTGCTGTCTCTAGGACTTCTCCAGAGCTTCCCCCATCCTCTGGAACTCTCTACCCCAATTTATCAGACACTTGCCTTACTCTGCTCACTTTTAGGCAATCTTTGAAAACGTATCTCTTCAGGGAAGCCTATCCTGCCCTCATCTAATAATGGAGTCTTCTACTCCTCCTACCAGTCCATCTCCCACAGTTACTACCTTTTGTACCACTAGCCCCTCCTTCTTAGATTGTAAGCTCCAAGGAGCAGGGCCCTCCTAACCCTCTTGTAAAGAACTGTATTGTTGCTGTATTGTCTCCCGTTATATTGTAAAGCACTGAGCAAACTGTTGGCGCTATATAAATCCTGAATAATAATAATAATTAGTATAGCAACGGTAGCATGGCAGATGTGAGTGTGCATGTTTGAATGTAAATCACCTTAAGACTTCTTTACTGCAACCTCCTCTCACTGTGCATCCTGGTATGGACGTTAGCCTCAATATTGGAAGAACTACTCTGAGAATTATTGAAAGTGCCAGCTGACAGCCTGGTCTTGCATTGAGATATTTGTTCCCCCTCCAAGTTGGAGATGTGGAATTTATGTATACCCATTGAAAGAGATCAATCCAACTGGAAATATTGAATGTTCCTTGTAAGTGCTCACATGGTACATTTGGAAATGAACCTGACACCTTAAAGTAGTCCTGGGGACTGCCATTTGGGAATCTCTGTGTGGATTCATAGGGTACATATAGAATCTATATGATTTACTTATTATCCTTAATAATAATTTTATTTTCGGATATCCACAGTGAACATTTACTCTGTTTACATCCAGTCATACCATTCTACTGAATTTTTTCCATGAGGAATTAAGATTGTGTTAACTTGCCATCTAGGCTTAAGGTGTTACTAAACCTACAAGGGTAAAATCAGTCTGTATATGCAGTAAAGCATGCTTGTTATACGCACTGTGAAACCTAGGGGTTAATTATCCACATTGTGTAAAAAGGATGTTTGATCCTCTCTTCTCTAATCCTCCCCTTCTTCCATTCTCCCCTAAATATCTCCTGACAGAAAAAAGCTTTGGAGTCACTCTGCACATGCTCATTTTGGTGTGTTTTGCTAGAGAGAGTTTTTTTTTTTCTTGGGAGAGTGCATGTGATCAGCACAGGGCCAATCAGCACTGTCCAAACAGAGGTCAGGGGTCCTGCATGCTCCTAGAGGAGAATGAAAACTCCTCCTATACGCTTTTAACCAGTGCTCTGCTGGACACTGATAGAAGTCACAAGACTGCTCTAACTGCTGATGAGAAAAAGTATTTAGCAGTTTTATATTTACTAAACTAATTGCATTTCCATGTTCTGTGTACTGTGGGAGACCAGATATAGTGAGTGCAGGGTCCTGGGTTTAGAAACACTTTAAATATCATTATATATTGAAGCACGGTTTATATCTTTAAGGGATGAGGAATAATGAATTTAAATGAATCTGTCAAATTAACTGTCCATGTTAACCCTACTCAATTTTGGACTTTAAATAGTGCAATGTGGGCTTTATATTGCTAGGTTTTGCAGTTAGTACTTTATAGATATCTATATTATATTGTTTGTTATTTTTGAATTGCTCCATGTGTATGCCCAGATTCGATTGTTACTTAGGAACTAACAGCCTATTGTATACAGTTTATCTGGGGATATTCTAGATATAGGGAGAGGGGGATTATGTGTGGAATAGATAGGGTTGATTTTAATGGGAACAAGATATTATTATTATTATTATTATTATATAGTATTTATATAGCGCCAAAAAGTTTGCTCAGCGCTGTACATTATAGTGGGGGACAGTACATGAGACAATACAGTAACAATACAATACACAAGGGGTTCAAGGGCCCTGCTCCTTGGAGCTTACAATCTAGGAGATATGTTCCTACATGTTGGTATGATTTTAATACTGTACTGTTATATAGATGTTCATTAAGGGGACATGCTTGTTGTCTGTTTTTTTTTATTTTTTTAGGTGTTTTTTGATAACTTTTTCCACTTTCTGTATGTATATTT